ATCCCATTTATACTTTATTTCTGTCACTTTTTCCTGTCTTCTCTACTTTTCTTTCTTTGACCATGAGTAACATCTATATTCCAAAATGAGGAGACTCCAATGACAGACAGACAGACAAGAGGTGAAAATGAGAAACATGCATTTATCTAATTTACTGTTCCCTTTGTATTTTTCAGGAGACATGTTTTATGACAGCATGTACTTCTGTTTCTCCACAGACAGAAGTGCACGAACTGCAAGGACAAAGGTTTTGCGGGTTAGGAAGTTATTCTAACCTACTTTTTAAGATTAATAAAATAATTTAACACGCATTTTAAAAAAAGTCTTAATGATTAACAATCAAGAGTTGAAAATACTTGTTCGAGTCAATAAGAAATAAAATGGGAATACAAAATATTTTAAGCGTTTAAGTTTTTTGAAGTTTTCCAGATAATATAAAAGATGAATTTAGGAAACAGGCAACCAAAATTTTTTTTCTATTCTTTCTTTTTTAATTGAAGAAGTACAGATAGGGTGGATTTACTTATGTCCCTAAGACTAACTTTCCTGACATGGCTACCTTACCAACCAGTCTGAATGTCAGTTTTCTTTATATAAAGAAAGCATTGTCCTTTGATAGATATTTTTAGCTACCCTTGACCATGTTCAGTATTTCCTTGAAATTTAAAAATACAGAGAAATAAATATAAAACAGGGTTTCAAACAGGTTCTGCCCGGTTCAATCAAGGCTGAGGAAGTGTCACCAGAAGAGACCAGAAATTTTTAAATTTGGGTGATTTGCCACGGTACCCAGAACAGGAAAAATGATGGGTCGAAGCCCAGCTAGAAAATCTCCCTTTCAGAAAACAAGGGCAGCACACATGCTGCACAGCAACCAAATCTCCCGCCCTCAGATTTTGAACAGCCTGGGAAACAGCACCGCTCCACTCGAAGATGGCAGCCAATCGTGCCACTCTGAATGTGTGTCACCCTCTACAGTCCTGCCAATAATCCAATCTCATGCATCTGGCTCCTGACACGGCTCACTACGCCTCTTTCATGTCTCCCGTTCCAGGGCTTGGGCTCTGACATGTCATTTTTCCCCTTATGGGTACTGTGTCGAATCACCCTAATTGTAAAACTTTGGGTCTGTTCCTGCTGCACTTGGTCGGCCATGACTGAACCGGTCTGAAGCCCTGATATAAAACCAGTTTATCAACTTTAATTATTAAGTTCATCTTATAATAAGTTAATTTTAGTTAAGAAATTCTTATAAAGGTATAGTGATTAACCTAATACGGAAGGCACAGCATTGCTCTAAATGGTTCTCAGTAATATAGCTTCTATTTATTAAATAAGAAACGTCAGTTCTTTAAAAAATTACCAGTAAAAAGATTTCAACACTGTTGATACTTATATTTGAACAGTCTTACCTGTCCAAAATATAAATAAAACCTGCTGTACAAACTGTGTAAGGCAGAAGTAAAAAAGGTATAATATATCTAAAAATGCTTTCTAAGCTCTAACATAAGATAGAGATGCTAGTAATTACTATTCTTATGACATATACCAAAATCTGTGGCATGGCATTTTGCTAACCAGTACACTGACATTTCTTTACACCAAAAGAATAACAACTATTCACTCTAAGATACAACAAAAATCTCAAGTTTCACATGAATAAAAGAATAAACCATTTTTCAAATACTGATATTAGTATATTCTCTTAAAAAACACTGACAATTTATATAAGGAAGCTGACTTTTTTCCATAAGCCCTACTTTTGATCAGTCAAAAATGCTATATCCCATTGCCACAGGCAGACAATAACGTGCCATGCCTTATTTATTCATCTAGATTTTTGTGAAGTCAGTTTTTTATGGTCCAAAATTGTATGAAAACTAGCTATGCAAATATACTTTCTTCCTTCCCTTCCTTTCTACTTTCCCTTCTGCAGTGGCATGTAAAGGTGACAGCAATGACGAATTCTAGAGGTGAGTATGAGCAGTAACAGCCAAGAAATCAAAGAAAAACAGCTGGTACTAGGCAGATCCCACAGATGCAAAGTTCAGTGACTGCTGTTCTGACTGAGTGAGAGTGAAGACATGTGAGAACCTCTGCCCGTTTCGATGTCCTACTCCCTCTACAATGGGGTGTAGAGATAAAAGCTGGAGCCCGAAGTAACAGGACGTGAAAAGCACTGGTGACTTCAGTTTTGAAATTAAGGTGGCAACTACTATGAGAGTAAGTCCAGTAAACACCTAAATCATGAGATTCATTCCATTTATGAAGATCTGTTGTATTCTGGAAGGACATTTAATAACTGTATTCTTCTCCATTACTTTTTAAGGAGGGAGGCAAGTGAAAAATCAAATCAATGCCAAACTTACAATTCTTGTAGCAAGGTTGCCGGAAGGGTTTTCCTTTTGAAAAGGCAATAGCCACTATGAGGTACTGAAAACTGGAGATAAAAAACACTGTAGTATTCTCATAATTTTGTATATTATGCTCATCATGTTCGGTTACATTGTCAGAATGTGAAGAGTTCCAGTAGAGGCCTCCTGTTGTATTACAAGCACTAGAACACACACACATACAAAAATCTGCATTACTGAACAGTACCAATCCCCTAAAATGAAAACAATTTGACCTTAACCTCCCTGAATCACTACTATCACATAAATAGAAATAAGGTGCCATTTACAGCAAAACAGCCAAATATATCCAGATACCAGATACAAAGAGCAGGGAGAAGATCATTAAATGTTTTCTCCATAGTCCAGCATTCCAATCAGTTAGAAAATCAGAATTAAGTAAGAAAACATTTAAATATAAGTCCCCCACTCTTTTTTTAATTTTAGGAATAATTTTAGCATAGTGAAGGTAAACAAACCTGGCTTTGACCTTAGCTCTATCGCTTTCTAGCTGTGACTGAGGAAATGTTATTTAATCTTTCTGAGCCCATTTCCTCATCCGTAAATCTGAGTGTCACCTGCTACGTCACAGGGTGCAATAGGGACTGAGTAATAAGGTTTGTGTAAATGCCAACAAAGCACCTGGCACTGAGTTGGGTCTCAATAATCTCTAGCTCTGGGCAGGAGTCTCAAAAGTATATAGAACTGCTTGGCTATTAACCAAAATGTTGGTGATTCAAGTCCACCCAAAGGAACCTTGAAAGAATGGCATAGTGCTCTACTTCCAAAAAATCAGCCACTGAAAACTCTATGGAGCGCAGTTCTGCTGACACCCATGGGGTTGCCATGAGTTGAAATCAATGGCAACTGGTATATGTGTGCACAAGAAGTCCCCAATACCCATTATTAAAGACATTAACTACTACCATATTTTTACACAAATACTATGCCTTCTACATTTGTTTGCCAACTGCACCCTCCCCAGCAAGGTATTTCTGTAAATGTGCCAGGCTAATTTTCTTTTTTTACAGCAACACTAAAACAAAAAATTGGCATAGCAGCACTGATGAAAATATCTCCCCGTGGGAGGACGTGGTTGGCGAACAAACATAGAAGGCACACGTTAATTGCGTAAAAATACGTTATGCGCACAGACAAATGACAACAAAATGTTAATCCACCACAAACGAACTCTGGCAGGATTCTTAAAAACAATCCCACCTACGTATTCCTTTTCACGTGCAGCACGTACATAGTGATGTTACATTTTTTAAAGTTTCCTAAAATGTTCAAAGACAAATAATCTATCCAGCAAATTAAAAATATTTGCGTCTGAAAATTTAATTCCACAAAATTACCACAGTAAATAATTTAAATGTTTAATTAATTGAAACGCTGCTATAATTTGTGAACTATAAGCACTCTACCCATAAATAACTAGTTAGTACTTTTTTTAAGTTTAAAACTTTTAAATGCCATCTCCTACACTGGGGGTAGAAAATTTAATAAAAGCATGAACATTTGGGTTTGGAAGAGACCTTAGAAATTAGTTTCAACTTCCCCATTTTACAGCTAAAGGAACATAAGGCTTAGTAGCAGATTAAGAAACTGGTCCATGGTCTCCATTTGTTAGTGGCGATTAGGACCTTGCCTGACCATCTTCCTGCACACAGATTCTTCACTATGAAGTTACCATAATATAAAGGCAAATACAAACCGAAGTAGTTAAGTGTTCAATCAAGATACATGCAAATTTTTATATAAATGTTCACAGACTTATTCTTATACGCGTGTAGTATACTGCACACACTGTACACAGACTTTTACACGATCGACCAACTTACTCAGACTGTGGATGCCATTGTTCATACCACGGTTGTTGCCTGACCCAGAAGAACCCCAAGGACTGAAATCCAATGCAGATGATAATCTGAGACAAAACGGAGCAGAGGAGGGTCCCGGATATGAGACCCGAAGGTGGTTTTTGTGCCACAAGTTCCTTCCAGGCCGGATTTAAACTCACTGTATATTGAGGAGAAAAGAGGAAATGTTTGTATCCAAATTAGTCACTTCAAAGATACAATCAATTCATTTAAAAACATCTTTGTCTAACAAATCTTTTGATATGAAAATGTCCAAACACAAATCTGCAAAAGAAAACAATTTAGGCTTTTTCAAAAATGCTTCAGGAATAATTTTTACATTGGTCTACTGAGATTCAGAAGAAACATTAGTACAAATTTAAAATTTAAAAAAAAGAATGTTAAATATAGGCAGACAAACTATAAGGTTAATTACCACCCTTGTATGTATTTAACTGAGAGGTCATCATTTTCTGAATCTTTAATTGCAAAGTATTATGGATTGAACTGTGTCCCCCCAAAACACGCGCTGTAATTCCTACCTTTTATGCCTGTGGTTATAATCCCATTTGGGAATGGGTTGTCCCTGTTACGTTAATGAGGCAGGGTTAGTGTAGGGTGTTGTCTTGAGCCAATTTGTTTTGAGATATGAAAGAGATTAAACAAGCAAAACAGCTAGCAGAGATGGGGGAAGAGAGATGCTAAGCCACCTGAAGATCGACCAGGAGCAGAAGCTCAAAGAGACGAGGACCTTCCTCCAGAGCCGACAGAGAGAGAGAGAAAGCCTTGCCCTAGAGCTGGCACCCTGAATTCGGACTTCTAGCCTCCTGACTGTGAGAAAATAAATTTCTGTTTGCTAAAGCCACCCACTTGTGGTATTTCTGTCACAACAGCACTAGATAACTAGGACACAAAGCTACAATTAAAATATTTTTCTTCCTCTTTAGAAGAGATCAACAAAGGTGTGAAGCATATAAACACAGCAGTAACGTTCTTCTTTTTTTAAAAAAGACTTTGATCACTTATTAAGGTAGTATCCACTGAGTTTCTCCACTGTAAAGTTTCTATTTTTCCCTTTGTAATTAATAAGTAATTATAAAGACATACTTTGAGACTGTTACCACTCTGCTCCTCCCTGGTTTTAGCATTACTAGTTTTAGCATCCACTGAAGATTGTCTAACTCAGTCAGTCTCAACTGAGGGTGGTTTTGTCCACCAGGGGCTATGTGACATGTCTGCAGATACACTGGTTGTTACAACTCGGGGGATGCTACTGGCATCTAGTGGGTAGAAGCCAGAGATGCTGCTAAGCCTCCTACAATGAACAGGACAGCCTCCCACAACATCTGGCCCAAAATATCAATAATGCCCATTGAGAAACCCTGATCTAACTCCATCATCCCTTCTATATCCATCAGTTAGCACCCTACCCTTTCCCTTCTCCCCAGTTCTTCCTTCCCTCTTTCCCTTCCTCCTCCTCCCCGCCCGCCCTTTTCTTTTTCCAATATGGACCCCTACGTATTTATTTTATTCAGTGGGTTACATTTCACTACCATCATTATTTTTATGCCAATCACCAATGAAGCAAACCAATATCTTATGTCTCCTTATACGATACATTTAGAAGGACACTATCACTTCTGTGATATTCCTGCCAAAAATTCATAGCCTGAATCTAATGAGAATACTTCAGACAAATCCACATTAGCTGGCCAGTGCTGTTCTAAATGTCAACACCAAGAAGCCCCAAAAAAGGCTGAGGGATTGTTCCAGATGAAGATTAAAGAAGACTAAACAGACATGACAACTAACTGAAATTTATTAACCTGGACTGGATTTTCGACTAGGGGCAAAAATAGGTATAAAGGATATTACTGGGACAAATGACAAAACTCGAATATGGGCTATGGATTAGATAATAATACTGTATCAATGTTAAATTTCCTGATCTTTATAACTGTACTTAGTTACATAAGAGAATGGCTTTTGTTTTTAGGAAATACACGCTAAAATATTCAGGGGCAAAGGGACATGTCTCCAACTTACTCTCAAATATTATAGGGAAAAAAAAAAAAATGGTGCCAGCAATAAACCCAATGGGGCAAAACATAAAAACTAATGATAAAAGAACACATTTATAAGTAAACCAGAGAAGTCTGAGCTATGTTACAACTGATGGAAATTTAGCAAAATTTATGTCACAGATTCAGAATTTAATATGCTTTGAAATCAAGAGCCAAGCAAAATACTCACTTGTGAAAACTACTACCAAAATGATTGCCAGGTCAATGAAGAGAAACTGGAAGTCTCCTAGGTTACTTAAGATCTACAGAAGTAATTTTAAAACACAGTTAGTTTTCAGTGACTGTTTCTATGGCATTGTTCCCATTTACCCTGGCTTTAGTTTGTTCTTTCACAGTAATAACCAACTTTAAAGTAACACTGGACTTGTTTAAAAAATGAAATACACTTGCCTTTGAAATATAATGTAATATATTTACAAATATTTAATTTAGTAGTATAAAAGATATCTCCTTAAAATTCATTTGATAAGAATTTTTTTTTTTTTGCAAAAAGAAAACACACACTTTTACTCACAATATTCAACATTTTTTAAAATTGCTATCTTGAAGCTTCCTCTAATATCTAACTCCATCCCTTCTGGTACTTTCTACAAACGGTAAAAAAGGGATAGTTTCACAAAGGCTCCTTGAGATGTCACTGATGTTCATTTAGAGGGAAATGAACATGAGAGCACTTCAACTATGAAATCCAGCAGCATACACAGGGACACCCTTATGCCCTTTCTCCTCCAAATACAGCAGTCCTACACACTATGCTGAAGCATCTCTTCTCATTATGGTCTATTCCGGTAAAGGTTAACTACAATTCTAAAATATGCCAGAGCTTGACATTTTGAAGAGTTCTAAAAAAGATGTCCAATCTGTGCTAAAGACAAAAAAGAAAACAATTATCTTTTATTCTCCAGGCTTCAGCCATAGTTGTCAGCCTTAAGGGAAATGTTATTCCAGATTAATAATTTCAGTCTGTTACTTAAGATACAGTAAACTGAAGGTTAAATTTATAAAGGCTACTTATGTAGGTTCCATTATTAATGGACACATTCAAAACCAAATATATATGCTTCATCTCTTAATTTAAATGTCTTAACACTAAGTGCCATATCTGTAAGCAATGTTAGTACTCACGGAATACAGCAGAGTAACACTGAAGTACTGGATAATGCTGTACAAAGCCATAAATTTAAATACACAGAACGAAGTTATGAGAGCAGCACGGCCTTCCCTGTGAACACAAACGTTGGCATGTGAATAATAACATTGTCAACTCCCGCTACAAGGCACAATTATATCCTGAGATGAACATCACCATTCAACAGCTACCAGGTGCTTTTCTACCAAAAGACACGAGCAAAGCAGAACTGGAAGACATGAAGAACAGTGATCAATCTGTTCCTAAGTTACAGATCACCTTTGCTAATATGCCATTAGAACAAATTCACAATACTTTCTCTGACAATCTTCCCTTCTATATTATTAGAGCAGGACACAAAGAGATAATGGGGAAAACGTCCATTTGTATTACCTGATAAGGTTTGGCACACAGGAAATACTAGGCGTTTTGGAGGTAAATGGAGATGCCACCGAAGCCTCAAGCTCAGACAAGGAAATGCCTCCATGTGCCCTCTTCAAAGCCTAAGGATTTCAAGAAGCAAAGTGGTCGAGTTTTGTGAATCTGATTTAGACCAAAGTGAGAACTATAAAGTAAATCACAAAAATTGTACTTACACCACAATCATTTGCACCATCACCACACATCCCTACATAGTAACTAAGAAGCAAACACAAATTTTTAGATTTTAATTAATTTTTTAAAATACACAACACAAATTTCATTTAAGATTTCTTCGATACAGTATTATGAAGAGCTAGCAAACAAAGATTCCACCAGTGGGACTAATAAATCTTTTCTTCAAATTGACCGCAGACATGTTGATATGCAAATCAGCACCAGCCAGCAGGTCAAACGACCTGGGATATTGTCCTGTTTCTGTCACATATGGGCAGATCAGTTTATCTTTTGGGGTCTCAATTTCCTAATCTTTAGAGCAAAGGACTTAGGTCAGTTTAATCTTAATTATGCTTATTTTTTAAGGCTATCAGTAAATATTTCTCCCTTTGTAAACCTGAAACACAACTGCTTACTAAAACTATCAAGTCACTCCTATCAACATAGAGCACTTGAGTGAATAAACTATACCTCATAGATACTACCTGGAAAAGGAAATGTGGATATTATACCTTAGCTAAATAAATGAGCACATGGGCCTATTTCAAAGAGGCACTTAAAAGTTCTCAGGTACTCTATAGGTGACAGTTACACATACATGAAATGTTATTTTTCTGGATTTGAAAATGAACTATAATTTATTTTAAAAAAAGAAAACCATTACTTACTCTACGTTTTGTAATGCTTCTACCAACTGTGTCTTCTGATCAGGTGCCATACGAGCAAACACGGTGCCATGCAACATCAGCTGTAAAAAAGATGAATTTCTCAAAATACTACTCACAGTGTACTCAGGTGAACACACACATAAACCCAAATCACCCACCTTAGGAACGAGGTCTTGAAAATGCTCCTGTATCACCGAAAATGATTTTCCATTCATTGCAAAATGATAACGAGTCACCCGAAGGTCCTCTAAGCTGTCGTGGGCCAGCTTCACTGGAATAGCCTGTGGATAAGACATTGAGAAAAGTATGTAGGTAGCCAAACCAAGTAATACATCCTACTGTAAACGTATTTGTTCCCAAACTGAATTCTTCCTTTGGTATTTTATATAAGACACTGAAAGCTTAAAATGTAAAGTAAAAAGGAAATTCAATTTTACTAAGTTAAAAAAAAAAAAACCTTACAGAAAGCTAAATAATAAGCTTCATTTTAAAACAATCAATGAATTTAATATTATGGATCCCTTGCATCATTTATCACTGAATGCTTTAAAAACAGGACAAATATTTGGGATTCTTAGATTCAGAACTGTGGTTCTCAACTCTAACTAAATATCAGAATTTAAAAATTGAGATTCCCGGGTCTACCCCAGTCTTACTGAATCACAATCTCTGAGGAGACAACACAGGCTTGTCTTTATTTAGTTTTTTTTTGTTTTGTTTTAAAGCCCCTTTTTTTTTTTCAGGCTAAATTCAAATGAGCAAGTTTCTAAAGAGAAAATTCATCTCAACATTACCTCCGAGTCAATTGCCGACGAACTACTGCACTGGCTAACGGTGTCTGCATAATGCCAATTTATCTTGGCAACTTTTCCATCCTTTGGGGGTAATGCTTCAGCAATAATAACTTTATCCTGAGGAAGAATCATCCCACAGTCTCTAGCCACGGAGAGAGCAGTCAACATGTTGTCACCTAATTTTCAGATATTTTAAATCCGTTAAAATTAAATGGAAACATGAATGTATCGTACAACAAGTACTTCCTGAGAATCTACAACATCACCCGTGACTGGGCTAGGCAGAAGGAGGATAATGTATGGTCCTGACTCTTGGAATTTAGATATAACAAAACAATGGCACGCTTAATCAGAGAAAGCCTCGAATAACTCAAACACACATATGCTAAATACTCAGAGCATTTTCACCCACACTTTTTAAAGCCAGATACAATTCTCCGTCTTCTTCCGTCATGCACTGTTTGTACCCACAAACTACCTGGCACAGTGCTACATACAGAGGAGGCACTCACCAACTATTTGTTGAACTAACCTCAGAGTGACTGGTGGTACATGCAAGAATACAAGAGCAATGTGACAGAACAGAATGAATTACAAAAGCAAGATTGCAAAGAGGTCAGCAAGGCAGCTAGATATAAACAGAAACAAGAGAAAACCTATCAGTCATGAGAAGGAAAGAACTGAGGACAAGCACTTCAAGGACAGGACTGAGTTTGGGGATCCCACTGCGATCAGTAATGAAGCGCAAGATACCGCTTCCTCCAGTTCCCACACACTATTTCCAAAGGCATCTTCCTATGACCTCCTTGGGAAACACAGCCAGATTCTGTCATGCGGCGTAAGAGGGGGAAGAGATACAGATGGAAAGTGGGGAAGGAGATGCAGACAGAAACTGTCCTGAAGGAGACATCAGAACTAAGAATTGTTGGGATGCTAATGGACTTAGTTAGCTTGAGCTATATGACAATATGTATGGTATTTAATGGACCTCAGTCTAAATCTTAAAAAAATGTACACAGGCCATTTCCACATACAGTAAAACCTCTGAAAGCCAGAACCTGTGTAAGGCAGAAACCTGTCAGATAAGGAAAATTCAAATAATTTCCACTAAAACAAGCGACAGAAAAGTGGTAAGACTGCACCCTATTGAAGGCAGAAAACTTTGAGGCTTGGAAAAACCAGGCCATCCCACTGAGCTCCGGCTCTCACAGGCTTCAGTATAAATCATACTGAGCACATAAACGCCATAAAGTGAGTATCTTAAACATGATTAATTGCTCAGGAAAAAACCTGGAGCTGTCACAAATTTCACACAGCTAAGGAATAGGAATTAGTTAATATTATCAACAGTATAACAACAGCAGGAGAATCATTCAGGTGCAGTACAGTCAAAAGAACAAAACAAACCAAAAAAATAGGCAACTTTCACCATTATAAATCCAAGTCACGATGACAACATACTCTTATAAAAATTTAAATCTAACAAATACCTACTAATCATTTTTATGGATTAGGCACAGTTCTGAAAATTGTAGAGGACCCTGAAAGAAGTACAAGAATCTTATATTTCAGTAGAGAAGATAAATCTGCAAATAACTAAAACAAAGCAAAGTACAGTTAAGTGCTATAGGCAAGATATGATTAAAGAGAGGTAGCAAAAAGCAGCAACACTTAGATTTACACAGTGTGCTCGTCACTATTTTACTACACTACAAATAGAATCTGGGAGACCTCAGAGTACAGTACTGCAGAGATACTTTCATACCTCAAAGATATTCAGAGCTGAAATAGGGTAAGGTAAGATGGAGCCACCATATAAAATGCTTTTACCACTGCTGATTCCTCATACCATACAACTTAAGCTCTAAGCCACACTCTGTGTTAGGAGTCTAACCTGTGACCATGACTGTACGAATGTCAGCGTTATGCAGAGCCGCCAGCACTGCAGGGGTTTCTTGCTTTAATTTGTTTTGCATTACAATTAATCCCAGAAAATCCATGTTGTTTTCGATGGTATCTCTGCGGGGGGGAAAAGTTTTAACAAACGAACAGCTTAGTCAAAAGAACGATCACAGTAATAAAGTAACTTAAAATATCTATAAATTATAAATTAAAACATTTAATACAGTGAATAAATCATAAATGTGTACACTTATGAGTTCAATATCTCAAAAATTTTAAATCTGAAAAAAAATCCCCAAGAAATACTGTTTTGAAATTACGTGTCGCCCTTTGAAACATGATATATAAAGATCATCTGTTTGTAAGATACTTCTAATTCTAAGGAATATTCATTCTGTAGCATATCTAAAATACGCACGACCATAAATAAATCTGTTCTTGACTTTACAGTCAAGAGAAAAGGAAAAACACGTATCACGGGCAAGCAGTAGATTCGTTCCCATGTCTTTGATCAATTCTATAAAACTGTAATTTTGGAAATGGGAGAGAAGAACCATTAGCAGTCCGACACTGACATTTCCCCAGGAGATGGGTCTTTTAGAATATTTACTAATATTCAGTATAGCTATAAAGATGCTATGCCTTCAAATAGCTGAGTTGTCTATGCACCACGCATGATGCCAGTCATCGGAAAGATGAAAAGAGACGATCTCTACTTTCATGTGCAAATCGACAAGCAAACAGAGGAGCACACAAAAATAATGTGTGCTTCAACACTACAGTAGAGACAAAGTCTGTTCAGTGACAGCTGTATCACTAAGACATTTCAAGCTACCAAAATAATATCATAAAAACATTATTTTCAAAGGGGGAAGAGAGGCTTGAGGTTAGGGACTAGAATTTCAGACTTGCAATAACCAAGTGATTTTTCTATACAAAAATTCAATAAATGTGCTTGAAGTATGTAGCAATGAAACCTAATCATCTTTGAAATATATAATTTACAACGATGGGTGGTAAAGATATTAAAGAATAGCTAGGACACTTGATGAGAATAATACTGCTGGTGATAAGAGGAGAAAAAAAAAAAACCTTACAACCTGAAAACGCATTTCAAAGCACAGAGCTTTGAAACTGCTGCGCCAAAGCACTGTAGCCATTTTCCTAGGAGGCACTAGTTTCTGGCTGCAGCCGATTTCTGAACTCTCCTGGGAATGATACAGACCATGGAAATCTTGTCCTCTAATTAATAAATAGTGCAATATTCAATTCAAGACATAAAGGCTCAAGCTATCAACATCTGTTTCTACAAAGCAGAAGGGAAACACTGAGAAAGTCTAAGAGTAAGGATGAATGAATGAGGAGGAGGAGCAGAGAAGGAGAAAGGGCAAGAGGAAGGTTGATGCGGAGGGGTAGCGTAATCACGGGAGAAAGAACAGGTATTCCAAGGGCATGGGAGGATGTCTGAATACGACAGGCTCAAAAGTGATAGGGAATTCAAGATAACTGGAATTTCTGAAGGGGTGGGGGGAGCCAAAAGACTAAGCTGTAAAGAGAGAACAGTCCACTACGCCCTTCTTAAGAATCAGGTTTTAATATTATAGGTCTGTGGTTCCCAACCACGAATATGCATCAGAATCACTTGGGTAGTGCTTTTTTCAAAATACAGTCAATGCTTGTTACTCATGGCAGTTATGTTCTATAAATGCACCATGAATACTGGTGAACGTTGAACCACTGCTTCTAAGGGAAGGACAGGGCTACGTTAGTTTGCTTTTTGTGTAATTTTGTTTAAAAACACCTTATTTCATACGTATTATTGTTTCATTAACAAATAAACTGTGAACAGCACTATACCCCGTGCCTGAAGGCAGCTTGTCTAACACGTGATTTTCTCGAAGGTTCATCACAGCTTTCCTGCACTTACGAACCCCAAGCAGCATTTCAGCACTATGCTTCGGCGTTTTAAACAGTGAAATCACCAACAAAAAGCACAAAAATGTAAAAAGCGCGGCACTAAACAGACCGCAAAACGGGCAGCTGTCTACAGCATGAGAGCTGAAACAAAGCGTCACCCTGCTTGACCTCAGCTGGGAATGTCCGACCTCACCAGGTGACTCAAATTTTTCACCACTCGGCGCAAGTCGGCAAACAACCGCGAAACCGCCAGAGCATCAATTGGGGTTACAAATACATTTTAGTGAGTAGACAGATTCACAAAAATGTAATCCATGAATAATGAGGACAGGCTGATTCATGCTTAGACCACATCCCCCAAATACTGTTTTAACAGTTTTGAGGCAGAACTCCTCATGCAGTTTTTTCCTTTAGTTATTTCGTTGCCCACCCCACTCCTTTAGTCCTCATGCAGAAAACAGGACTGCACTATAAACATTGTTCTACCCTTTCCACTCAATGGGCCTGGCGTATTTAACAGATGCACAACAACAGCCCATAGTTTTACCACTGCCCTCTTGGTGAGTATTATGCTGTTTACACTGTTTAAACAGGACACTTATGCCAATATAGACTATTTCTTGAGGCTGCATTTCTAGGGCTGCACTAGTGGGTCAACGTATAAACGCAACTTTAAATTTTGACAAGTACTACCCGGGTGTTTTTCAGGCAGCTTTATGAATTTACAGTGGTGTAAATTAGCAGTATGTTGTTGAAACTCTCCCAAACATTTGCTCACACTAGGTAGTACCAATCTTTCCAATTCTGCCAGCCTCACAAGAGAGAAGTGATGTGTCACTGTGGTTTGATTTTGTAGCTCCTGATAACTGAAGAGTCACATCATTTCCATGTGTTTACTGGCCACTTGTATGTCTTCTCCCGATACTTATCTGTCTGCATCATTCGTCCATTTTTTTAAAATTAGGTGTATCTGTTATTGTTGTTTCCCTGCCCCACGCATATCCCTTCTTGAGAACTTCTCCAGGAGGTGATGGGGGGCCATTGATAAGAATTTCAGGTAAGACTCTGGTATCAGATATGAATGTTAAAATGCCCTCTCTAGAGGCACTGTGGAGCACAGGTTAAAAAGAAGCAAGACTGAAGAAAAGAGATGAATTAGAGACAATGGCAGTGGGAATGGAATGGAAGAGAATGCTCAGCTATTCAACAGGCCAAACTGGCAGGACAGCAATAAATATTTCTGATCGCTTACAAAATGCTGGGTACACCATTAAATACTCCTAAACAAAACTGCTATCCTCAAAGGTCCATCAGTTACAGCAGAAGTGACAATGTTTGACCTTAAACGCATATTTATAAATGGAAGGAAATGTGACACTGGTAATGCCATTTGACTTGGGAGGCGTGGAGAAGAGTGGGAATGGAGATGGAGAAGTGGTTAATGTACCTCATGATACTCTGACCTAATCAGTGCTTAGTTCCAACCACTGAGGAAAACACAAGTAGACAGATGGTCTGGGAAAAATAAACTTCTGCAGAATTATGTTCACTGTTCCTAGAACATGCCTGGCACATAGTAAGCACTCAATAAATACTTAATGAATTGAAACCAGTTCTAAAGAGTTACTAGAAAAACATACAATGTTACGGTAACATTAAGCAAACATAAGCAGAGTCAATATAGAATGAAAGGAAATTAGACAATGGAAAAATGTACTTTAATCTCAATCCCCTTAAACACGAATTGCATTATGTATACTTGCAGACATTCAATACATACCTACTAAATACCCAACTATGTACAAATCACCGTGCATGACTTGATGTGCACAAGCATAAATGATACACTACTGGAAAAATCACAGAAAGACTGTTCGTCAACCCTACCTGTTGACGTTCTGTACTTTGTGCCATGTCAGTTTCGACTCCAATTTTCTGTGGGCAAGAGCAATCACACGGAAGCCCTCTTTAGTGTATTTTTCTAGAACTTTTTCAAAATCAGCCGGCACTTTTTGAAAGAAGAGAGTAGATCATTGTTAGAATTGCTAATAAAAGCGTATACAAACACCATAATTTTACAAAGCCTAGTGATTTCTCTCCTGACCTGTGTCAGGCTTACAGAGACTGGCGATGACCTCGGGTGCCCCCTTCATGTAGGCGTCCATCTTCTTATCCCAAAGCACCTTTGTAACCACACTCATACGTTGCAAAGCCGAAGAAAATGGGAACTGGCGAACAATCCCTATCTCATAATTAGCCTACATAATTTCAAAAGATGCACAAAGTATTTATTACTCCTTAAGAATAAAGACAAATATACTTGGGGAAGAAGTAAACATTCTTCACTTACTGGAAGTTCAAACAGCTCCTAGAAACGAAACAAAAAGAACAAACAGCACGGATTAAGTTCATGTGATATAAATACTCAAGTTAAAAGAAAAACTTGCTAAGCAGTCACAAAACATTATTTGGAGAACAGTGAGGAACTTCGATTATTTCAAAGACAGGATTCAAGACTCCCTCTCTACCACCTCCCCTTTTGAAAAAGTATGCTCTTGAATATTTTCCAATTATCTGCTATCCTGAAAATGTTAACATATTAAGTACTAAAATAAACTAAGGGGAACACATTATTAAAGAACTCACCTAAAAATAAATTCTTTCACATACTCTTTTTATTAAATTACAGGTATGCCGATGCAATTCAGAACAATTGACTGTGTATAAAGTGTAAAGCACTAAGCCACTCAGTAAATAAGAAGGCAAAGTAATGGACCTGAGAATAAAATCTCAATGATTTACAAAGATTGCCTGCAACACACTAGAAGTGTAGTTTCTGATAAATTCAGTTAAAATATTCAAATAAAAGACTTGTGATTTCCTGTTCTGGTAACATTACAAAATGAAACTTAAATGTGAGTATTAGCAGTGTCATCCAAGCTGTGACATCGTACCATTTCTTGGTTTGCTGTAGGTGTGAATTCAGGAAGCAACTGTTTTGGAGGGCGAACCACAGTGGGCATAATTTGATTATGAAGTGCTGTTTCCTCTTCAGTGGCTTCTTGCAGAATCTGGGAGGGAAAAAATGTCAACGCATTGCTTCACAAAATTTAATTTACTGGTTCCATTTTCAAATGAAACACTATCGCCATTTTCAGGGAACTGAAAGAAAAAAAAAAATCTATGTCCAAGGAACAGATGAGCACTATGAAATCACTAACATGAGTAAAACAAAACATTAACAAAGCTAGTTAGTTACCTAGCAACCCATGGGGGAGAAGAGGCAGCGTTAAGAAGTAAAGAAATCGAGAAAAACTTCTCTAACTTTGCTCCTGAGGGTTCCAAAATTTTTCTGTCCATCACTCAGAATTCTTTTGTGCTAATAGGAGAGGACTGAAAAGCATATGGAGCTCAGATATGGTCAGTAGAACCACTTGGGTAGAGAACAGACTGAGGTACAAAGACGTGAATTCAGCGATTCAGCTTGAACACTTCTCCTAGTTAGGGTACTACTACCCAACCCTCTAAAATATATTTTAAAACACTTTTTTGGTGAAATAAGTTCAAACAAAAACCTATGTTAAATAAACACACAAAACAATTATATTTATAGTTTGACTCTGTAACTGAAGGAATTATTAATCAATGGGAAAATGATGGGGAGGAGAACCGTAACCAATTAGCTAATCTTACACAATTCTAAGGCACATTTTTTTCACATTTTAGTATCTCTGAAATTGAGATGCATCTTGTATTATATGGCATCTTAGAATCACAGCAAGCAGCGGTTGTGTCTGATTATGTGGTAACAACCCACTGATACTTACTGATAAAGTCAAGCATCAAGGCATCTCAGGGTCAATAAAACATACTCATATACAAACTAACTTACATAACTCATTAAAAAAGGGGCACACAAACACAGAACACCGAATTTATTCAGTTGGAGAGACACCTCAGAGGTCATAAGAAATGAATCAGTCCTATTTTCCTTTCTCTCTGTAAATGAAATGGGTCCTCTGTTGGGGAATTAAAAATTTGACAAGTACACCTACTTCTCGCTTATTTGACACTTTGCATTTACAACAGTAGTTAAAAAATCTACTATCCGACTATTTTTGACATTAACGAGGCAGTGGGCATGACAGCAAGGGCTGCAGAGTGTCCCCTCCCACGAGGAGGGTCACTGGGTGGCCTCCAGGAGGCTGGGCCACACCGCCCTGCGGCCACCGCTCCCTCCTGCCAGTGGAGGACAGGGTATTTGGAAGAAATGCGTGCGAGTTTAACGACATCCCAAAGTGAGCCGAACTGGGCCTGAAGCCTCCGCCTCGGTGGGGCCAGCTGCGGGGCCAGGCTCCCAGTGCCCTGGCAGGAAGCCTTGAGCCTCGGTGACTGGCCAAGCCCAGAGAGCAGAACAGACTCTGGGATCAGGAATACAGGGCTTGCAGGGAGCCCTGGAGGCAGCTCCATGAGGGACACTCTGAGCCAGCACAGGAGGAAGGTGAAGTGGTTAAGCATTGCGTGGGGCCTCCAGTCACACAGCCCAGCTTTATCCAGCTGTGTCCCTTCCAAGCCTCCTTCTCCACAGAGGAATAATCCGTAACGGGACCCTCATCACAGTGATGAGCAGATCAGTAAATCTTAGCTGTTATTATTTCCAAGATCATATTTTCTAAATTAAAAAACCTGGACGAATGGATAGTCTGAAAACAGAAAAACACTCCTCCATTTTTGCATTAACAACCTGGTCTTTGGAACCTAACCATGTTGGTCAGTGAGGGGTGGTTGTATTTATTAAGAGCCTTCAGATCAAGTGGCAGGTTGAACACTTATCCACTCACCCATCTACCTCTCCTTCAAAATACTAACAAGGGGCAAAAAAAAGAAATAAACATGTAAAAATACATAGAAAGGAAGGAGAGGGGAATACCAAATATGGAGACAAAGCACAAACCGAAACATTCTGAAGGAAATAGTAGCCCAGAATAAACATGACAGGATGTACAGGAGGGTAGAAACATTTCTCAACAGACAGAACCGCTGAGCAAAGTAAAAACAAAATGAAGAAATAAACAAAGAAAAGTCCTTCCCTAGAAACAGGAGCTAGCTTTTGAGAGCAGTAAGGGCAGCTAACAGGAGAGTCAGCAATCCAGAGCAAAGCCCAGCTTGTGCCGGCGCGGGGGGGCGTGGGAGAGGAAGACAACCTGAAGACCACTCCTCACTGGCAGCAAGGCTGCCTGCTGGTGAGACTCCAACACACAAGCTCCACCTGTCGGCCTTCCCAGCCAGGGGAGGGTCCGCTCAGGAAAACAGACAACACACACAGGGTGAGAAACCTCACTGCGGCCACCCGGAATGATCAACGCAGACCCTCATCCTTAAGTATGAAAGGACCACAGAGATGTATAACGAAAACCAGAAGCACAAAGGAAAAAATCAAGTCTGAAAAAATGAAACAAAACTGACCTCAGAGAGAACTGCTAAGAAGGAAACTTTAAAAACAAATAAAATACAGTGTGTGTGTGTAAGGACCCAGGAAAATGGGTACAAAGGAACACTGCAGACACTTTATACTTTTTGCCAATTACCAATGAATTGTGCCACTGAAGATCATCTGAATGACTTCCAGCCTACTGCCACAAGCTGCTGATAGCTAGTTTATCTTATAAAATTAAAGCAGGTGCCTGAGCAGGTCATGCTCTATTCAAGGTAAGAGGACACTTTCTACACAACTACAGGTATTTCTCCAGCGATGTGAGGTTCTTAGAAATTATATATTAGCTTCTCTTGTAGTACACGATTGATCCTGAGGAGCTTGAAGTTCTGGTGCAGGACCATTCTGTTATTCACAAGGTCACCTTGAGCCAGCGCTGCCTTGACAGCAACTAACACCACCAAAAACACAGCACAAGACAGACTGCTGTCAGAGCAACTAGCAGAAACAGTCCTTCTACAGCTTCATTATTGAATTTTTACTATATTTTCCCAAAGGCAATGAGATTTAAGAGGGAAAGTGTATGGGTGCTTATATGCATCCTACTTGTTTCATGTTGGAGTAAGAAAAAAAAAATTCTACTTGTATTTTAAAATATTGAACTTACCCATCCAATAGCTTCAAACATTTTTAAATCGAGTGGATCACCAGAGAGCACTCCTTCAATTTTTGTAAGTGAATGACAAGTAGCCATACAAGCAACAAACTGGGATTTTACCAACATCTTATTGCAAACGTTTGTTTCTGGCAAAAGAAAACTAAATAGAAAATGTACTGAATTAGATTCATAGTATGACACAAATCCCAAGAGTGAAGACAATTATCTAACAGGCCTTTCCAGGTTTTATAATTTTAAAAACGGAAATAAAATGTAATATAATAATAATAATATTCCTGCACATATTAATTTTCACTATAGTTTTTCGCATCCAAAAACATTTTCTTCCAAGAAAGTTACATGTGCCTAATATACATTATCTTAGATTATGAATAATTAAGCCAGACCTGATACTACAGAAAATACTAAATACTAAATAACAATAAAGACTCCTACTTCTGGCCATATGGTGGATTAGAATACCTTAAAACTCTTGTAAAAACACTAAACTGATGTGTTAACAATCGTGTAGATGCAAAATTGAAAGGCAATCAGAAAGAGAAATCTTCAAGTGCCAGAAATACAGGGAAAGGAAAAGCAGAAGGGTGTGGCCTTGGGCTGATGTTGTGACTCCCTGCTGGAGAAAGAAGGGCGGGCCATCTCAGTGCCCTGAAGACTTGGCCTTTGGCATTTACAGAGGGACAGAAGACAAAGGCCTGGTCCCAAACAAGTGGGGAGCTAGAGCTGAGAGTCCCTCTCATTCAATAAGGCCAGTACTCCTGAAGAGCTACATCCCTGGAAAAAGAAAACACTAGAAAAAAATTTAGCTACAGATCCAAAGGCTCAACTAAGAATAAACTTGTTTCTTTCCCCCCACCCAAAGGTCATGAAATTAGCTAATATCTACATAATGTTTACCATGCACTAGACAGTGTTCTAAGAGTTTCATATATGCTCACTCATATCATCCTCACGCCATGGGAAGGTGTTTTATTACCCCTGTTTTATAGAGAAAAAACTGAAGAAGAAGGGCTAAGTGGCTTTGCCCAAGGTTGCACAGCCCGTAAGTGGCAGTACAAGGATTCAAACAAAGTCTGGTTTTAGGGCATAACCTCTCAATGTATTATACAATAAAGAATGAGTTCAGGCTTGAACATATGCTACTGCCTGGTCCAGAAACCTCCAAGTTACAAAAGTAACAGTAAAGCATGTGCAATGACCCAGCATTTCTGCTTTTAGGGATCTACTTTACTGAAACACAACCACATGTTCACAAAAACGGTCACTGCAGCACTCTCTGTGGAAGTAGAGAGGGAAGAAGGAGAAAAAAACGAAACTTATCTCTTAGTAGAGAAATAGATACCATGGTTTAATCCGGTAACAGAACACTACACAGACATTAAAATTAATAAACTAGATCTATACATATCAACACAGAAAAATCTTGAAAACAATGTTTAGAGGAAAAAAAGCAATAAAAACATATAGATATTACTCACACAATTTTGTAAAACATACAAATCTGTCCTGTTTACAGATAGATATGTAGTGAAAATGTAAAAACATATGAAAATAATAAAACAACGTCAGAATGGTGGTTGGCATGGGGAAAGGGACAGGTGGGACTTTACTAATATCCGTATCATTTTAAATCTTATAAAAGAAGAGATCTGAAGCAAATACGGCGAAGTATTATCTGTTTAATCTTGGTGGTAAGTACACTGCTGTCTATTATGTACTTCCTATATGTCTGAATGCTTCATACAATAAAATATTTATTGAAAATTAAATAATAAAGTATCAAGTCTAACTAGTCTTTACCGTGTATTTTCCACTCGTTGAATCCCCCAAAGATCTAAACCATCTTCAGTAAGAGTTCCAGTCTAAAAAACAAAACACACACACAGTCTAAGTAATCCCTCCAAAAAAATAAATCTTTAAAAACTATGCTGCATATACCCAACAGAATACTATGTTTTAAAAAAAAAGAAAAAAAAAAAAAAAGAGCAAGATTTCTATATACTGATAGGGAATGACTTCCAGGATATACTGTTAAAAGTGGAAAAGAGGTGCAAAACAGAACTTACAGTGTGCAATCTTATATGTTAAAAAAAAGAGGGGAGGCAACATGTGTACAGCTATGTATGTGTGTGCATATATTATCCAAGGAAACAGAACAAAACGACAATAGAACGATGTACCAGTCAACCTGTCACTCAATAAAGCCTACATGTAAAGGAGGAACTAGGAAGGGAAGGGAAGAGAAACAAGAGGTAGCAATCAGCCAAACACACGATGGTTTCTTCAACAAACTGATTATGGGTGAGGGGTGAGAAAAGGTAACTATTACAGATTAATTGTAATCAACACAATCGTTATTTGGATTCTGACCGAAAAAAACACGTTGGAAAAATTTAAGAGATTTTTTGGGACAGGCAGAGAAACTGGAATATGAACTGGATATCAGATAAAAGTTAATTTTGTTAAGTGTGATAATAGTATTATGGCTGTGTTTTTAAAACATGTTATCTTCTAGAGGTACATACTGAGGTATTTATAGGTGAGATAATGGTGGCGGCTGCCATCTTCAAATGACAGGAAGTGAAACAAGATCAACAAAATGTTGATAACTGTTAAAGATGGGTAATGGGTAAAAAAAAAAAAGTTGCTGCCAAGTTGACTCTGACTCATGGTGACCCCATATGTGTCAGAGTAGAACTATGCTCCATAGACTTTCAACAGCTGATTTTTATGGAAGTAGATCACCAGGCCTTTCTTTTGAGGTGCCTCTGGGTGGACCCGAACCTCCAACCTTTTGGTTAGCAGCTGAGCACTTTAACCATTTGCTCTACCCAGGGACTCCAATGGGTAAATACCCAGGCTTTATTATACTTGTATCTTTTCTCCATTTTAAGTCTGCTTTTCAATAATAAAATTTCCTCCAATAAAATACAACCAAGAGTAAAATTTCTGAATAAATATGAAATATTTTCATGTGACGATATGACTTTTCCAAAATTACATGTTTTCACTTTTTTTTCTTTAGTATTCAAGAAGCACAAAAAGAGCTTTATGGAAGGTTTTTTTCCTTATTTTGGTCAAGGTTTAATTCTTACCTAAAACCTTTAGGAAAACTAATTTCAGCTGAAGAAAGAAGAAACCTTTATAAGAGATAAGGTATTATTTTACACAGATACAAAATTTGTCCATTTTTATATAAAATTAGTGACCTCTATATAATTCTAAAACATATACTCAATAAAATCTTGAGCAAACACTAAACATATATATTGAAAAGCAATAAAATCCTAGTAAATACTATTCTGTTATATAAGAATTATATAAGAACATGAAAGATCATACAATTTTTACTACTACTACTACTACAAGGTTTAATTCTGGATATGCATGAACAGTCAGCTGCAGATGTGAGTGAATAAGCAGCATCCAAAGTATTCAAAATTGAAAAGATAATGAGAAGAAATATATAAAAATGATATAAGCCATAACACAGTTTATAAAGCCAATGTTCTACATCTACCTTGGTGACTAGCATCTGGGGTCTTAAAAGCCTGTGAGCAGCCATCTAAGATACTCCACTGGTCTCTTGCCTTCGGGAGCAAGGGAGAATGAAGAGAACA